GTTGTTGGTCCATCATAATCTGTTCCGAAGGATACACTTTTGTAACTTTGGGATGGATGGTTTGTTTTCTTTCAGTTGGTGGTCTAGCTTCTGTTATAACCTTCTTTTGATATAGACATGGCCTTTTTTCATTGAAATTGCGAAAATAAAATACCAGTGTAAATGAGTATAGTAACCTCCTAATATCTAGCTGATCTAGGGCGACGATTTCTTTGAAGACGATAACTGATCGAAAAAGTCAGAACAGAAACCTGTTATGGYTTACTTACCTTTGATGCGGTGACTGTCTATGCTAAAATATTTTGGATATTTTACTGAACGATTCCCGTCCAAACCGTCCTTTAAAACCGGCGTTTTAAGTTGGGCCCAGTTCMCTAGGATTCGGTTAGGAACGCCTGGGAGTATCAAGATAGTCCTTACGTCCCTATATTTATAACTGTTTGATTGTCGTCCGAGAATATCGCAGTATTTGTGCATGAATTACCAAAGTGAAATATTGATCGTCCCTACAGTACTAGAATAAGAAAATAGCAATAATAATGCGATGCCTGATAAGCAAAGATAATATCAAACAAAAAATGAAATCAGTCAAACCTCTCTTTCGGTTTTATTTGTCAAAACACTGATTCAGCACCAGAAAGTCCCCAAAAATGACAATCAAGTACTAAAACCTAAAATAATCGAGTGAAAAAATGGTGGTATTGTGGGCTCCTGGTATATTGGTTCGATATTGGTGTTTATGACGCGATGACGTAGCGTGAAGAAGTGGTTAACGTCATCATCGCAGCTCAAAATTGAGTGGTTACCAAGCATATCATTCACAACTTGGTAGATTTCATGCCGCTCGACAAAACACAGTCATTGTAAACTCATCCTTTTATTTGTGGAAGTTTGGGGCGTTCTCCTGTGAGATCTGTAGTGACTTGCAAGTCAATATACGTTGATGAAATTGGATTTGTAACTGTTTAGTGGTCTGTGTTACCTTTGAAGTGATTAGCATTTTGATAGGCATGTGTTTGCTCATGACGATTCCTTCGACGTGGCAGTGGATTGTATTATAGCATTTTCCCATAACTTGCTCGGATCGAGGACATCACCATGGGAGCAAAGAGAATTTTTAATATTATCGTAATTACATCGACTTTCTGGTTTTCAGTGACGATTTTGGTGCTCATGTTTAGCAATGAGATGACTAGAGAGAGTTTAACCATGCTCAATGCACCCGTTGTACTTGACAAATCGAAAAACCACAAATATATGATTTTAGCCGGGGTGCAACCTTTAAGACCTAATGAGAAACATATCAAATATCCATGGGAGAAAGACACTGATGGACAATCCGAGAAGTCACAAGGAATTCTTGCGATTAGTGCAAAAGCTATGATGGGGGTTATCCCGCGCAAGAATCAGGGCTCCAAGAGGAAAGTTTACGATGCAAGTATTGGGAAAATGAAAGATACTATGAGTCTYGGTGAAGGCGGAAGAGCTGCTTTTTTAAAGTCTGATGAAGATAAGAAACTAGCAGAAAAATTCTTTGCAAATCATTCATTCAATTGGCTTTTGAGTGACAGACTATCATTGGATCGAACTTTGGAAGACGTRCGGAGCCCGAGGTAGGTCTAGCTCTTTTGTAACGGTAATGCTGAGTTAGTATGCCCACCTACTATTAGAACATTGTACAGTAAAATATCCAGCCCAGCGCTCCTGAAGAGAGTCATTCTAAAGAATTATTCAAGCTTAAGGTGGGATTGTACTTCATGTTTGTCAGAATGAAAATTAAACAAAACACAAGCTTAAAATATGTATAAACACCCAGTCAACTTTGTTTTTAGTTTGTCCTCAAATGAACAGACTTGATACGATTGTAATGGAAAAATATGGACTCACAGCGTTTTCAATATGTATATGATTTTGAACAAACGAAATATTGAGTGTTTTTCATCGTGTATGTCAACAATTAAACAATTTCGCGTGGACTCGTTATTCGTATGAAAACAAAAATTATACAGTAGCAACATAGTTAACTATGAGTAGCAAAGGCTATTCATATTTTAAAGTTTTTCACTGAAATACAATCCTACAAGTTTTCAGCGTTTAAAGAGGCTCTAAGTATCAAATATCTTSTTTGATACATATATTGTAACAAGTAAATGGGAATTATGAAGTTGAGATTACAATCTTTTTTGAACCACCCACTATTTTATGTGATGATGAGGGAGATTTGTCTCATTTAGAAACACCACGACATAATGTGTCATAACTCAAATTACAGATTTAAAATATATATGTAAAAAAGGGATTTGTTTTTTTTTCTGAGGTTTTAGTCAATTTGAAATTGTGTGAATGTTTCATAATGTATAATCATTATTCAGCCACTCACAATTTGAGCATTGTTGACTATACTATGGAATTGTTCCAGCCTAGCCACCAGATATTCTTCTCTTAATGCTTTTAAGGATAATAGGATGTGAAAACTGATGCGAAAACTTGAACTCTCATCTGTTCAAATACTTTGTCATGTGTAAGATAGACAGTTGACTCAATACTTCAGACACACATGTACTGATTTTGTGATAAATGGATTATTTAGAAGCCTTATCACTTTTAGAAATGTTAGTCTTGTTGTTTTGTCTCTGATAWATTGAAAATATTTTGCTTAACCAATGTTTTATAATGCATTTTCTACCAAAGGAATTGAGAAAAAGAGGAATGCTTTCATTATACATGTYGTTTTACTCATTTTAACATAAGTTTATAAGTTTTGAAATATGGAATGATGTGATTTTATACAAGCTTCAAATCTCACTTATTCATATTATCATACATGTAGCCCTRCAGCTGGACAGCTGTGTTTGCACTAGAGGACCCAGAATTTAAGAAGTGATTACAAATTCTTTTTTGTCTTCAGGGTAAATTGTAATTGCAGTTTGATAAGGATCAAGAAGACTAATTGAWTCTCAGTGTGATAAAAAGATTTTCAATACGTTCACAAATCAGCACCAGTGAATAATTAAGTAAAATGCAATATAATATTCAACACTTTCTAAATCTGTATGAACATAGCATACATCTTCACTTGTTCTGGAAAGAAAAAAAAAACTTGATAGAAACTTGAATTGGTAGCAATGAGTGACACAAAAGAATGCTATCTAGTGTATAATGACACTTATTAGACTCTTKCGCTTTAAAGGGWGTCTTGAAATATTACAATTTGAAAGGTTCCCTGTTGATCACGAAAAAATTCACAAATCAGACATTCCTCAGAGAGAGTTGCTTAAGGCAAAGACAGATGGTGTTGAGGGTCTTTTTTGTTTTTGTTTTTGATTCAGGTTTTTTGAAAGTATGTTTTTTTTCATACCAATGATAGCAGCATGTATGTGGTTTTCTTGTTTTCACCCTTTGTCAATTAACTATGATATTGACTTCATTGTGTCTTGTTTCCTCTGATCCAACGGTTTCATGAACACATATGATATTTTTATCATTCAGTGATATCTTTAGAACATAATCTTGTAACTGCAGAAAGCCCTGTGGCATTTTACTTGACTATCTTTTAAAACCTTCGTTGATTTGCTTTCATCTTCTTGACTCTACTTACWTAAACCTTTTAAGTACATTAAAATGTACTTGTTTTACATATCTTGTTCCTTAATTTTTACAGCTGTAAAGTGAAACATGATAATTACCCAAGAAACTTACCTACAACCTCAGTCATTATTTGTTTTCACAAAGAACGGTTATCCGTTTTATTGCGGACAGTACACAGTGTTATCAACAGAACCCCTCCACATCTCCTGCAAGAAGTTATTGTTGTGGATGACTTCAGTCAAGATCGTGAGTAATCTTTTATCTGTTTAAATTTATTACTTTCCAAAGAGATTTAAGAAGCTCTTACTATCTATCTTCTGATAGAAATCACTATTATAGAACGACTCCTAGTTACTTTATTTTGAATGAACCATGGTAACTCATCCTTTATTGAGTTTAAGAGTTTAGGGAAAGGCAGACCTTGGTAAAAAGGGTTGTTCAATCTGCAAACATTCAGCTGATAATAACTAGTTTGTAGGCTTAATTCTTCTTAGAATTACTTTTAATAAACCTTTTGRATATTTTACCAGCKAAACTTGCCAAACCGCTAGATGAYGGTGTGAAAGAATTCACTAAAGTTAAAGTTTTAAGAATGAAAAAGCGTGAAGGTCTWGTTCGGGCGCGRTTACAAGGAGCCTATGCTGCTAAGGGTGATGTCTTAACCTTTCTGGACTCACATTGTGAAGCTACACCTGGTTGGGCAGAACCACTTCTCGGACGAATTGCAGAGAAAAGGTCAAATGTGGTTTGTCCAGCTATAGAGGTGATTAATGCTGACACGTTTGCCTATCAAGGATCCACTAATGCAGATCAAAGAGGTGGTTTTAGTTGGGATTTGTTCTTCAGATGGAAAGGAATCCCTCCTGAAGAACAGAAACTTCGTAAAGACGACTCTGATCCAATCAGGTAGGTTTTTACATTTTGAGGAGTAAAGTAAGTATATCTTTATCAGAATTAAAGTAGAGCTCTTTTAAAACCCAAATTCCGACAAACCAACTTCAACAATCAAGGTCGCGTTACAACGGTGTTTACTTTAAGGTGGTACCCCTTAACTGTCTTAACTTTTTCCTACATCCATGTAACTATTGTTTTGCCCCTTTTGTACTTTTGCCCCATTCTTTTCCTTTTCTTTTTTTTTCGTTCATGCCAACATTTGTAATTCCAATTTCGTTATCAAACTAGGACACCAACAATGGCAGGAGGATTGTTTTCAATCCATCGTCAGTACTTCTTTGATATTGGTACTTATGATGAAGAAATGGACATATGGGGTGGAGAGAATCTCGAACTGTCATTCAGGGTAAGAAAGTCCAAAAAGTAGAAGTAGTTGTCAGTGTTTTATCCAACTTTGATCTCAGTCGTTATGTTTATTCATTGTTTGCTAKAAACGAAATGTCTCGTCAAACTATAATCACTTTTCCTCATCAGGTTTGGATGTGCGGAGGGCGCCTAGAAATTGTCACGTGCTCAAGAGTTGGTCACGTGTTTCGGAAATACACAAGCCCATATAAGTTCCCAGATGGAGTCGAAAGAACTCTTACAAAAAATTTCAACCGTTTAGCTGAGGTTTGGATGGATGAATACAAGGAGCTGTACTACAACAAAAAGCCTCAGGCGAAGAATAGTGATTATGGGGACATCAGCAAGAGGGTGGCTCTCAGAAAAAGGCTGAATTGTCATTCTTTTAAGTGGTACATCGACAATGTTTATCCTGATGTACAAATGCCTGAACTCAATCCACCGGCCAGAGGAGAGGTACCCATATTATACTTCTACATACGCTCTTGTTCTTTAAAACGACAAACTAGAGCATGGAGTGGGGAAAGGGGGGGAGGGGTGGTGGATTGGCTAAAGGAAAAAATATTAAGTGGAAAAATTTAGGGCTGCGGAAAATGAACCAATTTCTTTCAGGTGAACGCTGCTTTAGTTGTTTTTTAGAATAGGTACCATTCAGATTTTATTTCTTCCTTTATTCGCTTATATAATAATTCCTATCTTTCCTATTTTTGAACCCTAAAATGAGGGTGGCTAATCATCCCCCTATATCTGCTTTGAGGCAGTTGACCGCGTCTATAACGGAAACCATCACAACGTTGACAATAGATGAGGATATGAGAGTAGGTAAAAAAGGAAGGTCAGATCGGTTTGAATTGAACAGGAAAAAAGAATAAAGGAGGGGGAATAAAAAAAAACACAAAAAATTGATCAAGCAGTGCAGAACGAGTATAAGAAGCTTCGAGTCTACCAAATAATAAACACCTACGAAAAGAGAAAAAAATGAAACTTTATACCAGAAGTAAACAAAACCTGTCCGATTCTTGATCTACACTTTATGCATGGCTTGTAGGTTTATAATTTTTACAACATCTAATATAACGAGGGTGTTTTTGCGGTAATTTCAGGTGCGGAACCCTTCAAGTGGATACTGTTTGGATTCACTCGGAGCAAAGCCCGAACATAACGCGCGTGTTGGGATCTATGTTTGTCATGGACAAGCAGGGAACCAGGTAAGCACAAAACATCAGCATCGACAACATGACTGAGCGRCAGGTGATTGTGTAAAGTKTATATTAATTTCTTTATAATTTTTCTAGATGTTTGTCTTGTCATCAAAAGGAGAGATTATCTTTGAGGAAGAGAATTGTTTAGATGTCTCCAAGACGTACGCTGGGGCTCCAGTTGAAATGATGAAATGTCATGGACTTGGTGGTAATCAAAAATGGGACCATTCAAAAGCTCACGTGAGTCATCTTGTTATATGATATAGATGCCACACTAATGGCATTTCATTAACTTCAAAAAGAAATAGAACTATCACCCAATCCTTGTTCATGGTTGATCATAGCAGTCGAAGGTTGTTCAGAAATGCTCTTATTTTTGCCTTTTCTTCTTTATTTTCCCTGTGTTTCTCTGGGTTGAGGGGTCATAGTCGTGTCTTGACTTATGCATTACTAAATGGACAAACAAAAGTCCAACTGTGGTGTTATCTAAACTATGCTTATGTCTTCATCTTGATTGTTGTGTCTGACCAAACTTGAATCAAGCCAACGGCACCTCGTTAGAAATTAGGCGTGGTTGAAACTAGTGGAAAACTAGTGTGAGCTGCGTCGGTGTTTCTAAGAAGAAACGTAAAAAAGTAGGTTAAACAACTTACTGACGGTTCGGTTGTTAATCCTTCGCTTCTGTACTCCGACTTTCACCTACTTTTTACGGTGTTAAATTTATMTTGTCACACAACTGAGAAATTAGGTATACCTTGTTGCCTGTGTAGGAGACTTGTTTAGMTCCCGCAATGCCTTTCGGTCATGYATTCTCCATTTTTCTCCCAACGATCTTTTTAAAATCGGTGTWATTAATAAGARGACTCTCTCTTACAGGGAATACTAAAACACATCAGTACACAGCAATGCTTGGACAAAGGATCRCCKGGAAACCAGTACGCTATTATGAATCCATGTGATGGTCGTGAATCTCAACGATGGGTATTCTCTCACTATAAAGATAAATAATTTTTTATTGAATTCAAATTAGGATTATTGAATTAGGTCGCTCTTGTTAGCAACGTAGGAAATAACGGTAATAGAAAACATTGCATTGTTAAATCATATTATACAAGTACTAAAACTTCCATCTTTGATTGATATATGTAGTTTTTCTGAGATATTTTAGGCTGGGACTGATGAATAAAACATCAGAATATACAGGATTGGTGTCCACAATTTTAACAACAAGAAGTATTGTCTTGAATACGCATTCATTGTACAAAACAAAACAACATCATCTTCCTGCACTTTTTGGCTGTATTGAAATGACTGTATTTGCTCAGATTATATTTTTCTTCTGAATGTTTCTCGGTGTTTTCTAAACCAATCAAATTAAGTAGATAGCTATTATTGAACATATAATATTGTTAAAATACTGTCATGCACGTATAAGTAATTGTATTTTCATATTTCACTTGGTACAGTTTCGTTCCTTGTAACCCCATTTCGTACTGCGTCATATTTCACCAAGCATGCGCAGTGCGAAGTGGGACCCGACCGTCCGCATTTTCAAAATGGCGGAGGGAGAGGTCCTGGGACCGAGGCTAGTACATGTGCATTAGAGTGAAGATTCAAAACCCTTGAATCAGAAACGAATATTCTGAAACCGATGTAGGGTTTGTTTCTTCTCTTTATTGTCATAAAATGACCAGCCAGCAATAGGTCAATATATTTTTACAAAAACTTAGTGATTGATAATAAATGTTTCTAGGCTTTTTGAATGTGATTTATTCAAATAAACGTCATTAAAAAAAGGGCTGTTTGTATTTTTTTGTCCACCAAGTGGATTATTTTCATCTCCTTTGAATATCATTCGTTTTACTGCAAGGCCATCATATTTGACATATATAATTTTGATTAGTTCTTTCATCGAAGACTGGGTTTTTTTACGACTAGGATTTGCTTGTCCCTTCCTTTTCGCATGCTAATTAGGTTAGGAAAGTAACCTTAATCACTGAGAAAATGATTAGTATACTTTTGAGATGTTGGGTTTTCATTTCCATATAGATTAAGATCAGATAAATGTGACACTGGTAAAAAACGCACTGCGCATGCCCACAGCTTTCCCGCCAGTGGGCGCTCGCGTCTTGAAATCTGTAAACAGAGCGCATGGCACGCCTGGCGATTTACAGCGACAACACAGAAAACACTACGAAAAACCTCATTTTCTCAAAATAGAAATAACAAGATAAAAGTAGAAACTACATACTAAAAGAACATGTCATGAACAAAGATTGATGGAAATATGAATCTTATATATCSGTKAACGARCTTATAAATTGTAAAAAACTTTCACAAAAATCGCTTTACAAAGGAAATTRGGGAGGTKTCAGYGGGAAGGCTGTGGACATGCGCAGTGCGTTTTTCACCAGTGTCGATAAATGTAAGATTGTAGTAATTTCAGACCACTTAGGTACCCTTCTGGTGTGTTACTCGGGCTTCTTAAGCTATGCCTGAGGCACCAATCGGTGTTRTTATTAGTTTTTCTTTTTCTTCTGTTGATTTTAGACGGAAAACATATAACGAGATTCTTGTTTTTGGCTATGTGTGAGAATCGTGCCCATGTATCCCAGGATAATACATGTATATCAAGGAACCCTTTTTAAAAGACTGGAGAATCATGAGAGTGTAAATAGCTCGATGTAGATATTGACCTGATTGCGTGGATTACTGGGGGATAATGCCATGATAACGTGCAAAATAGATAATTTTATCTACTTGGTCAGTGGTCCCTCTATCAATAAAATTTATAATTGAAGACTGGTATTAGTGGTGTATCAGGAGATAAGCCAACATAGACGCATATCTTTTTTTGCTATTGTCGTGAGGAATAGCCAGACCTACTCGGTTTGGGCATTTATCCCATTTTCTGAGAAGATAAAGGAATTTGATGAAACGGAAGTAAAAATTCCATTCTAGATAGACTGGTTAAAATCGCTTAATCCAAGTTGGTCGGACGTTTACACGCGATTGAAGACCACGGCTGCTAAACGACGATTGTTGCGCGCGATTAATTGCACCGGTTTAAACATCATCGTTGTAAACCGTTATTAACATCACTTCGTGAGATCAAACTGACTACACGTATGGCCTCTAACTATATAAGAAATTAATAATACTGCGGAAATGGAGGACAAGGACTGGGCTTGATCCTTTCTAAAGTAAGTCTTTGAATCGAATAATTAATTTTCTATCCTCATGTACGATTTCAGTTTATTTCTTATAATTTATTCTTGAATAATTTAGATAAAATTAAAAACCTCATTACGTTGCCAAAATTAAAAGGAACGCGGAAGATATCTCAGGTTGTCACATCAGGAAGAGTACACTGACGTCCGTGGGAAATACAAAGTTTGGTAAGAAGTAAACAATTATATGTTGTATTACAGTAAGCAACTATAATGTATAAGAAACTGATATATTAATCAACTGACATTGGCAATAAATTAAAAATTGTACATTATAAACGGTCACTACTATAACATTACAGGTATACGGAAAAAAGCGAAATAATTTCACAATGGCACGATTAGAATTAGGGACATCGAATCGTCCCATTCATTTGAAAAAGCTTGCCAAAATGGCCTTTGTTGAAAGTGCTTATAGAAATTGAACGACCGGATGCTTGCTTATAGACTTGCAAAGTTTTCCAGCTGCTTATATGCTAGGATTCTCGTTAAAATGCGTCTTTGGGCCAACTGTTTACTTCGAAAAGAAAAATTGAAAAATTGAAAATGGTTTACTCGCAGACCATTCACACTGCTAATGGTCAAAAAGATCAGTTGATGCTCCAACATCATCAAGGATGGCGGCTGGAGTTGATTTAAACCATGAAAAATTTTAAAAATATGAATGAATTCACTATTACTTGTGTTATTAGGTTGAAGAATTAAAAGAAAATTATATCTGTTATATGAGGGTCTCAATGGGGTTAACCGTGAGTCGTGAAACGGCTGAAAAATTAGCCGTGAGTCGTGAAAATGTGAAAAAAAATTAGCCGTGAGGCGTGAAAAAGTCAAATTTTTAGCCGTGAGTCGTGATACGGACCCCCCCATTGAGACCCTCTTATATAGTTTTCATTCCCACATCAATGCCATACCATCCTCGGGAACCCAGGGGTAATCTTCTGTCGTTCGTTCTGAGGAACGAACGACAGAAGATAACCACTGGGTTCCCGAGGATGATGCCATACATCAATCATGCTTTTGCGGGAAGTTCTTGGATATGTTATGCATCGATTCTTAATCATCATTGCTTTATCGATGATATGAAATATAGTTGACCGATTTCACAAAAGAGTTCTTGGTAATTTAAAACTGCGCGAAGCCTTTTGGTCTAAGTGTGGCAAACTAACTTTTAGACTTTTTGGGTTACCTGTCATTTCAAGAGTATTTGCAGCAGAGTATTTTGGAACGTGGGGGAGGGGAGGGAGGAGGGGTCATCTGATACTGTACCTTTTAAAAATCTTCTAAGACGAAGAATAAGAAAAGAGGAAAAAAGCGGCTTCCTGAGGTGGATAACGGACTCTGAAAACGCTGTGATATGATTGTGTATTTATATTGTGTTTTGTTAAGTGCAGCTTGTTCAAAATATGATATTGCCAAAGAGTAAATCATGAAGTATATCATATAATTTACGTCGGTAAAACTGAAAAAAAAAAAAAACATTTTGCCCTCGAGATCATATTTGATGATAAGTACATCTGGAAAAAATTATTTCTCGTCAAATTTTAAGATATTTAAGTGACATTTGCACGCCTGTGGCCCGTGAGCATGCGGTGTGAACAAATGACGTCATGGCGCACCCACTAACATAGCAATTTTCTATTTGATTTTAGGCTCTATGTTGGTCGCGGGAACAGTCGAAAGAAAGTCCCTCTAAATGGCTACAACTCAAGTTTTGGTCCGAATGAAGATTATTTCCATAACGAGGCYATAAAACGGCAAACAGGCGTCGTAAGGGGATTCCCGTTAAGCCAAATAGCCTCATTTTCAAACCGAGGTTAACCGGAAGAGAAATTTATATGCCAACGTGTCCTATCGGTAAGTCAATGTTTAACACTAAACCACGGCCACCATCGAAACCCGTCCGTATCACTGGTTACAAGTGATTTACCAGCTGCTTTGACTTAAACTCAGAGCCTTCTGGTATTAATACTCCATCAACAAATGACAGTGATTTGAGGCAAATTGCCCGCGCGCAAGCTTCCCGTAAAAATCATGACAAGTAGAGACGACGCGTGGAGATGACACTGAACGTTCTTCTGAAAGAACTATGTCTCGGTCGAGAAAGCGCTACATTGTAGCTACGATCTTTCTCACCTCTGCATTTTGGCTTTCTATTGAAGTCGCATTACTATGTTACACAAACCGGCTGACGAATGACGACAATCAAATTATAAGTGAAGGTAAATCCAAGGTTGAAGGCAGACGAAGTTGGAGTCTCAATGAAACAAACACGAAATTGGTAACTATTGAAGAATTCAAATCAATGTATCCAAACACAATACACTTTGTATCGAAGCAAGGAGAAAATGGCGCTAAAGTGTACAACAGTCCTAGTGAAAAAGAAACAGAACAGGAACAATTCCGGCTGTATCAATTCAATGAGCTAGCAAGCTCGAAAATATCACTTCTCAGAGAAATTCCAGACAACCGTCCCAAATCGTAAGTACTACCTGTATTTTGGATACTCGTTTGGTGTAAATTCTTTCATTACACTGTAACTAGACATAACAATTACTACTTGTCGTGAACGAAGGCTGAAGAGTTCGGATCAAAATAATCTTTCCGTGTGTTTACATAGCCAATTGGCAAACTTTTCAAGCCGCGGCCAAAAGATAGTATTATAAAGGCACTGGTCTACACGGGCTCGCAGACCTATGAATATTTTATTTGTAGTAAGCGTTTAAGACCTTAAAAATCACCTTATGGGTATTATAAAGAGAAGAATTGTTAAATTGTCGAGGTTTGATTTCTTTTGAAACCATTCAGGCGGAATAATAATTCTGAGTATCTGAATTACGTACATCTATTTGACCTCGAAAATATATTCATCTTACAGATAGGTGATCTTTACAGAAATGGTATAGATTGCATTGGATTCATTTAAAAGTAAATTGTAGTGAACACATATATTTTTTTAAATTTGTGTTACTGTACATATATAACCTTTATTTAAATTTGGAACAGTTCTGAAACGGAAAGACATAAGTTTCATGTTCAATTATTCAACATAAACAATTCTAATAAACAGCCAAGAGGATATATATTTTATTTTGCACTCATATAAAATACACTTAACATTGAATTTGGTTAAATTTGACGCGAACGCTTGCTAATGGTTATCGTTGTTATAAGCGAAAGGTCAGTGTATAATTGGGGAGAATTTAGGGTTGTTTACATCAAGCACTGTTCTCAACCTAGGCCACAAAAACAACACCAATCGCCATAACTTGTGCGATAAATTGTTATAAGTGACTTGAAAGGAAAGATAAAGTGAGAATATTTGAAATATAAATATTTTTATTATTTTTTAGTTGTTTCAATGTGATGTACCCTATGTCAACGCTCCCAACTGCAAGTGTCATTGTAATTTTCCACAATGAAGCCTGGTCGACGCTGTTACGAACTGTACACACCGTCTTGGCACGATCCCCTCCAAAATTCCTACTTGAAATTATTCTAGTGGACGACTTCAGCGATAAGGAGAAATATAGTGAGTCATTTGAAAATATATGTATGTATATAAAAACT